ACTCGTTTAAAGCTTTCCTTTCAACTTCTGCCTTCTGGGTACGCGGACGGTTGTTTTCAAATTTCCTTTTTGGGCCTTGACCTTCGAGCTTCGATGAGTTAGCTTGATAGCTCTTTCCCCCATAAGAGCGGTTTGCATTTCTGGTCTGCTCATTTGAAGATTGCCTTCGGATACTTTGAGAATACGATGCCCCTCTAGCTTTTTCCGCTATTCTGCGATTTTGGAACTTGACCGCCAATTCGAAGAGCTCCTGCAATGTGCTTGGGTTTCTAATTTCGAAGTAGTCTTGAACAGCAGGTAAGCAATCTTGGTAAGATTATTTCAATAATCTCCGCGTCGGGTTTCTTCCCATACAGCATATCCGTCAGCTTAATTTTTCGCAGAATAAAGTCCGTCAACTCTTCTATATTCCGTTGATAAAAACTATATAGTTCGGCTTCTAGCCTTGCTCGATCTTTCACTATGGGGAAGGCCTTTAATAACGATTTTTTGAAATTTTCAAATGTATATGTCTGGCCTCCGAATTCCCCTAATAAAAATTTGCCTATATTCTTCCACCATAGCGCGGCCTGTCCTCTTAGTGCAGATGTGGCGATGGCAACTTTTTGTCTTTCAGGCACAGGGTAGAGCTGGAAAGTGATTTGTCGAGGCCTTCTAGAAATATCGCCACCGAATTTTTTCCGTCGAAATTGACGTTTGGCTTGATTGACGCTCTCATCGTCTGGACCAGGTATCCAAATCCTTCCAATTGGCTTGCCATTTCTTGTTGTTGTCCAGCAAGCTTCCATCCAATTTTCGGCCATTTCAGTTCGACAAGTGTTCGGGCGCCAATGTAATGTTGCGCGCCCCAACCTGCACGCAACAATAGTGGTGACTGCTAAGAACTGGAAAGTAGACAAAGTCTTGAGAAGGGTTTAAATCCCTTTTTATTCAACTTTAGAAATTACAAATGCGTGCTCTTGACGCTCACAAACTACGCCGACCCGGCGGTAAAATAAAAATAAGAAACTAAAAAGAATAATAACAAGTGACTAACTACGAGGCTCTCTAAACGTAACTAACCTCACCGCGTTCTAAGATACCGCTGATAATTCAGCAAACTTCTGAATATTACGTTGAAAGATTAACAATCTGCCGAGGCAAGCACACAGGCCGAAACGCGTGGTTCTTCAATTTCTAACTAGCCACCTCCACGCTCGTGAAGCAAGAAAGCACACTTCGAACTCGTTTCCCTTCTATTTAACTCAGAATTACTTCCGCTGACAATTTGAATCCTTTGCGCGTTCTACTAAAATTTACATACTCTGGCATTGGCAATTCCAGGGGAAAGTAAGGCTTGACAGGAAAGATAGTTTAAACTTAAAATAAATGTTAGTTAAAATAATAAACCCTATGTTTGCTATTTACTGTTTTTTAGTCAAATTTACTGAAAAAGTGTCGTTTTAGTCTTTTTCCTTTAGTTTTAAGTGTAAACCTAAAATAAATTTAACATATTTTAAAAGAGGGATCCAACAGGCTGAAAAGCACCTAACCCAGTGGGCCAGCTGTTCCGTCGATGGTGGAAAGAAAGAAAGTCTATGAGCACCCTAATGCTACTATGCAATGATTCATTCACAAATCGATGATGAAAGTCAAAATAAATTCGTCTACAGACGCAATGTTTTAATAGGGAAGCTCGAACGAAGCAATTAATGTTCATTAAAAAGGTAGAAATCTTTTTCATTAGTACTTACCGAAAATTTCAACATGAATAGAATTGACATTTATGACAACTGCATGTAATAAATGCAAAGATTAGCAATACTCACAAATACATATAATTGGCGTCATAATCATGAATTAGATCATGTTATTGATAAAAGAATTTTTAAAATATAAAGTAAATCATGCATTGGTATCTGCAATGATAAAAATGCCTTTCTGTGCCTCGAAATTATTATAGCAATGGCCTATATTTAAAACAGTTCAAAGAAAACTCCTTCGACGTGATAGTAGTTTTCATTTTCCGGATTTTACGTCCTGGCAAAACAGAAAGAAGTGATATTTGAAGAAAACTTTCCACAATCTTAGTGCTCAAGCGATCTATTAAAATACATGCACACCTATGTATTTTCTTTGCTAAATAAATATATAAGCTTCCACGTAGCGTTGTTGTATGACGAAACAGTAACTTGTCTGTTATTTGCCTTTACCATTTTAAACAGCTTAATCTAAAACAGAACATTTTACGCTATATATCTTTAATTTCTAGACGACTAATTCTTAAACTAGTAGGCTATTGAAACCGCTTAGTATAAAATTGTTTCAGGAGTTAACTGAAATTTGCTTAGAATAAAAACCTTTCCTTTGAAATTTCCTTTTAAGCTTATGACTTTTATACTTTTATTTCTAAAAATGTATTAACGTTTTGAAACTTTAATGCCAAACTTCTCGAGATGCAAGACTTTAATTTGAAGTTCTCATATTGCAGTTATTATTTTTATTTGATTGTCTTCTGGTGGTTTTATATCTTGCTCCTCTAAGGTTGCATTCCAATTTAAATTAAATTTAACCTTTCGTAAGCATAATTTTTCGTAAGCATTTCTCTTTCTAAAATCTTCTTCAAAAATACTTTGAATTTAAACATTCAGAAATTCAACAATACGGGCAATACGTGGTAGTGCATTATCTTGTTGAAAAATGGAGTCACGCAGGCTTCGAAGATGGGACACATCCATTGACCTTAACACATCAGAGATGTTCACGTTACCGACTGTAGTAACAAGAGCTAAGTGTCACTCCGTACCAGCACGGCATGAAAATGGACCTGCATGACAATAACGAATGCAAGCTGCCATCGTTCTCTTCAGGACTTCCCCCTACCGATTCTTCCCTCAAAATGCAGTACGCAGAGCAATGTTTCGTCTGAAAAGAGGGCATGGTATCCAATATTGTAGTTCGTCGTACCACTGTAGGCTCATCAGTCTCTATTGTAGCGTCAAGGAAAGCTACAAGAATGATCGTAGTGCTGACAGATCCTGGCACTGTGGATGTTGTCACACTGTCCGTGCGGACACTTGTTTTCTTGCATATGAGTTCCTGACTAAGGAGAAACCTTCTGTGCAGTTTCCCATTTATACACAATTTAGATGGTGTTACTCTGCCTACTTTGTGAGCATACATTGGAATGCTAATGATTTTCACATCCTAACATGCAGTTCCTGTTATGCAAATTTGACATTTGCTACATACTGCCTTTATGATGCCTTTTATGAATTTTAATCGCCGACACTAATTCTCTCAGCTTTTGGAAGAAAATGTTGCTAAGTCAATCTTCCTACCCAATAGGCAGTAACCCAAAATGTAGCTTTCCAAAAGGAGAAGCTACGAAAACAAAAATTGCTTTTTTCTACATGCTTATCCCAGGAATATAAATTCGAGAGGAAGACATAAATTGAAATAAACTAATACGGAGCAATATTGCACATTTAAGCAAATAATAAATGTTGTTCTAGGAAAAGCAACCAGTGCTGCTAAAAATGTTGAGTTCATTTAATACTTTTAGCATAAATTAATTACTATCATTTCCTTTTTGTGCAGTAAAGACACATAATTTAAGTTATAGGGTCAAGAAACTACTTTAAAAATATGAAGATTTTGGCACCAAAGTGCAAAAAGCTACAAGTTTTCATCATGGCCATGAGGTTTCAATTTTTGCATTTTATGGATGCCATTGTACCGAAAAATGAGTTAAAGGAATGTTTTACAGCAAAAATACCTTATTCATGACCTCGAAACCAGGAAATGATGAAAAATGTGCTATTTTACATAAAACTAATGTCAACGCAAAACAAGAACTTTACACATTTCAAATTTTTGAATCCAAACAGAGCAACCGTTCGGCAGGTTAATCAAAAAATGTTTTGTGTGTCGCCAATTTAATTCATTTCCATTCGCGGTTTAAATCTCGAAACTCAGTTTTATATATCATCTAATGGAAAATCAATTAATCCGCTTCTAGATTTAAAACTTTTGGGAAAAAGTAAAAATAGTTTGAATTTATGTAGAAGTTATTAGTTTTATTTATGAAGTCTTTCAAAAAATAATTAAAATTTTAAAAATTAATTTTTCTTGTGACTGATTTTATATTTTCGTATAGTTGTCATCAGTTGATTCTTTTGATCCTCTGGGCTTGGAAAAGGTTTAAAAACATATCTAATGAAGACTGAGCCTGGCGTTCGTTTCACACCTTTCTAAAATAATTTATCACACTGAATTTTTTTGAGATATCTGTGGTTTTAGAAACAACGGCTTGATTTGAATGCCACATATTAACCAGTTTTGCAAGTGTTTTCCTTACGTCGCTTTTCTAACTTTCATTTTTGTTGCTATCTTCTTAATTATTTGAAGGCATTTGTTTTTCTTTCTCATTTCTTTCATGATCCCATTTTAACTCCTACAGCTTCTCCGTGGTCAGTTAGACATTCTGTTCCTGAGTTCATCTTCTTTACATCTGCTTTATTAATTTCTAAGTACATCATCTTACCTAAGGAAGTAGAAAAGCCAAGCTATAGATTTTCAAAGACTGATTGCTTTGTTTTCACAGAAATATCTTCCTATGCCTAATGAATAAGTTGCAGATAATGAAGAATATTTAACTGATTCTCGTAGAATTCCTTTGTGATTAATTCTGTGACGATGGTAATTTCAAGCATCTTTATACAGAGTTTTGATGTATAGGTTTTTGAAAGGGCAATAATATTTTCATTTTTTGGTTATAAGATTGATATAATATTAGGAGTCAACAACTTATTTTTAATGTAATTAAATTTTTGCCCATACAGAATCAAACATAATTTTTGTACTACCAGATTTCTGTGATAAAAAATTTCATATATGCAGTAACAGTTAAAGACATATTTTAAAATTTTAAAAGCTAGTTTAATACGTTTAGGTAATTTTCATTTCACGAGATAATTATCTGCTTATTATTGAGGATGAAACAGCAGTTTTAATCTTACTTGAAAGACATCCATGCACATTCGCAGATTTCTTGGAGTAAACAATGCTATTTGTTGGTTAGAAAACCCATTCAGATCGAAAATAAAGCTAATGCCGGTCAACTGAGTTGCAGGATTTATCAATAACGTTTCTAAGATTAGCAGGTCAAATCGCAGTATTTCTTCAAATGACGCTAGGGATGAATCGATATTTCCTGAAAGAATGAAATGCTTTGCTTAATCTAATATAGACCTTCGAAATATTTTGATTAATTTCAGAAGAAAATTTAATTTTTTATTAATTGCAAAGTAAATTTCTTTTGTTTTTAGTGTTAATAAATAGGACGATCTTACTTCGCACTAAATAGCATCAATTTTTTTTCTTTTAATTAAACAAACTCTAAAACGAGAATGATACTTACAAAGACTGGTGTGTTTACGTTGATTATTACAATATTATTTACATTGATAATCATATACAGCAATTTCATAAAATTTGCAAAACATTTTAATTTAATAAAATTTTTGTAATCTTTCAGATTTTTAATACCGGAAATAGATTTTATCAGAAAATAAACTTTATTTTATCAAAAAAGGAAAGATAAAGGAAAACTAATCCGAATTAAATTAAAGAACCAATTAAATTTCAGACATATTAACGTTTTATCATTTGATAATTTGTATTTATTATCTGGCCATAATTCACTCATATAATAGTATAAATCATCAGAAACAATAAACTATAACTTATCTACACTTCAGTATTTCAGTTAATTTATTTGAATAAGAAATCAAAAATATAAAATTGGGAAGCAAATCACAGAGGTTTTCATTATTGTGTTCTTTGAAAAGAAGTTTCCAAACTTTTAGAGATAAAATGTTTAAAATATTTCTTCTACACTACTAAACCATTTCTTCTACACTACTAAACCAATCTTGTGAATTTCATACTAATATCACATTACAGAACGCATAATATAAACTTTTATTTTTATGACAGTCTATGTTCATGTAAATGGCTGTTAAAGTAAGAGTTTTGTTTTCTCAGTTTTTATAATTTTTCATTGCTTTGAATCATTACAATTCTTACAGCTAAGAAGATAAATTATTATTTCTTAAAAACTATTTGCATGTTTGTTGCTATTAAAAAGGCAATTTAAAACTTTTATTGAACTATTGAAACCTTTTACAAAATATTAAAAATTTCAATAGCATACAATATCTAAATCAACCATATGTAATGAATCGTAACAAACAGTTTTGTAACAAAAAGCATTTAAAATAGAATAAATGCCCAATGCAAAGTTTTAAGAAATTAATTAAACTTGACATATTGAGTAAGCTTTTGGTGCTACAAAATAGAGAGATGTATCAATAATTTACAATAGTGCTAAGCTTAAATGTATTTAATTAAAGTATTTTAAGTTATTTTTAATTCCCAAATGAAACATAAAAAATTAAGAAATTAAAAGGGATAAATTTATCTATATTTGTTGTCTTGAAAAGAAAATAAAGGCTGTTAAAACTATAAAGAAAGAAAGTCAGATTATTGGCGCAAAATCTCTGATAAATGTTCTATAATAAGAACACGTTCCCAAAAATGAGGACAACTTTCTTGCTGTATTTGGTGATGGGTAAGTTTTTTTATTGCAACTGTTTACATTTTCTGTCTCAATTTTTTTCTGAGATATCTTATAGCCTAAATAACGAAGTTCTTTGGCCGCAAATAAACATTTTGACGCATTTATTTTTAACCCTGCTTCGTTTAGAAGCGAAACCCCATCGTGCAGATCGATAATGTTCGTCTATATTCCCTGTAATTGCAATTATATCATCTACGTAAATAAAAGTATAGATGGGATTAATTTGGCCTTTAATTTTCAGGATAGGTGACAAAGGAGATTAATTTGGTGTCTTTTTTGTAGAAGCTTAATGAACCACAAGTTTGAAATGAAAGATTTTGAGAAAATTAGTTGTAATATAGGATTATATTGCGTTAATTCAGTTAGAGTTGTGCATAAACTAATATTTATTTCAAGTCAGTGAGGGATCATAATGATAGAAAACGCTTGTGTAAGTTATTGGTTTTAATTGTTCTATACTAAGAATAATATGTTTGAAATCAAAATTGGTTACGCAGCTGCCAACGAAATAATAACAGTATGATATATTTAAGACAAAGTAATAGCAGTATATATAATAGCAGTATATTAATAGCAGTATATTATCTTTAAAGCATGACATACGATGATACAAAATTACGGCGTATTAAAAGAATAATACCCAGTTTATTGAAAAATAATTTAATCATTGATGAATGTGAAAGTGATAAGGATATGGATTGAATAATATTGCAGAAATAAAATCAGTCTAAAATTACATCTCCTGATAACAAAAATAAAACATATTTTCCTCGAATTTTTAGAAATAAAATTGTAGAACTCAATAACATTTCTAAATGTCAGAGTAATGTCAAAACATTGAATGAAACTAGTTGTTCTTATTAGTTGAGATTCTAAATCCATTTCTAAAATATTCTACAACATTTTGTGATATAACGTTCACATGATTACGCTTTTAATTACGTTCCAAATATGCTAAAAGCTTTGGAGATGCTTCATAGTTATTCAAACTTTCTGTCCTATAGAAGCTGATTTCTAGAAAATGACTTCTTGCCTAGAAAGCCAAATTTTTCATGAGAGAATCCTGTACTCGCTCATGCAGTAAATTTAAGAGGACTTTGATGAGTAAATTTAAAAGAAGGATAATTCCGCTGCATGCTACATTAGTTAAACGGCAAATGTGTGGAAATAAAGGTGAAGAATACGTTTTCCGCATAACTTAAATTTCAAGTAGAGGTAATACTGAGAAAATCCAGTTGTTCATCATGTAGTAAATGGAATTACTGATTTAGCCATTAAATAAATCTGTTCTTACAAATATCTGCTAAATTTAAAAGTGACAGTAATGAAATTCTATGTAGACAAATAAAACCCATACTAAAACCAAATGATATTTAGAATACTGAAATTAGGTATTTTAGTTGTGTAAATAAATGCCATAATTCAAATGTATGCGTTTGCAAGTATACGTGAATAAATGATTTCGCTGTAAGAAGTTTGATCATAAATCTAATGAATTTGCTAATAAAATAAGAACACCTACATTGACACATAGCTTTGAGACTAATTCTGCTAACGTAATAGTAAAAATTTTAAAATTAACAATATGCTTTGTTTGGTCCTGATAGCCAGGTTATTCTTATTCGCAAATGATATTGTTCCGTCTTTTTGGTAGATAGGTGGCGCTCTTGATGCGCGCCGATGAAAAATATACCACTTGACGCTTGAACATGAAGAATGACGCATGTCATATTTATTTGATGCTTGATTATGTTTCATGGGCGCTATAGGCGGAAGTAATATAAGTAATATAAGTTTATCGTTAATAAATGTTATTTCTATGTTCTAAGAAAGAAATCTTGAAGTTTTGCTTTGAAATTCTAATGCTCCCAACCTCCCAACCTTGACTCCTGAAACGAAACGATCTTTGAATTTATGACTCATGAAGAGAGACAACATACATTTTTCTGGTGCCGAAACCCGGGACAAGGGGAATTACCTTTTGAAAGGTAAGAAATTTGATTTATTTGTTCTTGGTATCGATCTTTGAAAACGAAACATAATGGATGATTTAGCAAAAGAGAAAAAGAAACGTGCTATTGTACGTAGTAAAGTTACTACACTTCTAAATAAACTTGAGAAATTATTATCGGAAGAATTAAGTAAAGAACATCTAGAAGATTTAAATTCATCATATGAATTGTTAATTGAATATCATGAGAAACTTAAAACTCTTGACTCAAAGATCGATGCTCTCATTTGAAAAGAATATGAAAAAAATATGATAACGAACTACTTGTATGTGAAGAGTATAATAAAAAATTTAAGTAAGTTGTTTAAAAGTAAAAAAAATAATTAAGTTGTGTTGAAAGAAGTATAATTACAACTAGTAATAGTATTAGTAGTACTCTGAATGGGGTAATAATGTTGTTACAAGTAGTGCTTCAGTAAAGTTACCTAAAATAAACCTAAAAATAGTAGTTGAAAAATTTGCTGGTGATCCCAGTAAATGGCTCGAATTCTTTAATTCGTATGATATAATGCTATTCATTCTAATCTTTTTATTCTAATCCAAGTTTATTAAATAGATAAGTTACACTAATTTGAAAAGTTTTATTTATCTTTATTATCTGGTTCAGCATATAATGTGTGTTTCTGGTTATGCTTTATCTGAAGAAAATTATGATCTCTATGTATTAAAAGTTTAGAAGAGAGGTTTGGTCGTAAAGATGTTATTTATTTATCATCAAAATTCATGCAGATGTTGTTACAGTTAGAACCAGTTAAAAGTTTCTTCAAATGTTTTTTGGGTTAAGAAAGCTCTATGATCATACAAATCTAAAAGCTCTTTCGTACAAATCTGCGTTAGAAATTTAAGTAGTTAGTTTAGATGTTACTAGCGGTTCATACGGACAGTTATTGAACCCAATAATTCTTAAATTGTTACCTGAAGATTTAGCTCTTGAATTCCATAGAAAAAGAACATCTCATCTAAACAAAAATATCGAAGTAAGTGAATTCAATAGAGTTCATTAAAATAGAAACTGAATGCCGAGAAGCAAGTAATTTGATTAATAGCACAAAAGGTAATAAATAAATACACAGGGGTTAATCCTAAAACAGAAGGTTAAAAAAATTATAAAGTCCAAATCACAAGCTTCGGCACTTCTCGCTTTTTAACACATCGTAAAAATGTTTTGCATATTCTGCAAATCAAATCAAACGAACATACATCTGCCGGATGTTTTTGAAATTTTCCGACGAACAAAAACGAAAGAAATTAAACATGAAGGTCGCTGTTTTACAGATGCTTTGCGGTCGTTTTGTCGTTTTTGGTTCATCAAATACAACCATGCGAAAATTGTAACGACAAAAATCATAATAAACTTTTCTGCCGTTTGAAATCGAAAGAAATGGAAGATGTTAACTCCGCAGATACGCAAAATAAAACTTTAGTATCTACTTCCCACTGTAAACACTCTAAAACCTGAAAATAGTGTGCTTTTACAGACATGTTCTGTTATTGCTCAAAGCAAAAATAAATCGAGAATCGTAAGATTATTAATTGATTCAGGTAGTGAACGAAACTTCAT